ATTCCTGCTTCTATTCTAAGAGCCTCTCTTAGAGGTATGCTGATCCCAAACCATTGTGCTCCTCTCATCAGCTTCTTGAAATCATTGGGATTTCTACCCATGAACACAAATTCCACATACCTCCAGCTACCATGTGTTACCTTGATACAGAGAATGGCCAGCAGCAACAGAAACACAATGATTTCTTCTCAGTCAAAGCTTCCACAAGCTCAGCATGATCCTATGCTGCCCTTATGAATTCACTAAAATTCTCATTGTGAGAAAAATATAAGTGATTGTCATAGAAATGGTTTGCATATGGGCTTTATAAATGGATTCTTTCCTCCTCAGTTCCTTTAACGCTGTGGATAGGGATTTCTCTAAACATTTATGACAAGTATCATGTGAAATTTCTTTGTATGGCTTTTACAGACTATTAAGAATAGTTTTAAAAATTGATAATGATGACAGTAATAATAAAAACAATACCAATAACAATAGCAATAATAATAATACAGCTGCAAAAACTTCAAAAGAAAGATTCAGCTCTCACCAAAGCTCATACACAACATTCAGCAAGATAACTCACTTCCTACATTCTCAGTCAGAAGATTACAGGGATATAAGTAACAATAACGTTAGATTTAAAATGCATCTTTAATATAAATCAATGCCTAGTAAATGGGCTAAATCCACAGCTAGTTGCAACTGATTAGATTGATGTGCAGATTCATTTGAACTCAGATCTGTCTCTCTGCACGTGTGTGTCTGCCTATGTGTGCGGTTGGAAAGCAATACACATTGCGCATTGCACAAAGAATTTCACAGAAAACCACCATAATAACCAACACAGAAAGTGACACATTAATTGCTGTATTTGGAGAAAAAGGCATAGAATTAACAGAATGCAGAGTCTTATCTTTAGCTGAGGACTGGCGTTTATTTCTCCAACCAGGATGCTCACAGCAGTCTTGTGAAAATTCTCACAGGTATAACATTGCTGTGTTTTGCTCCTTGCAAAAATATGGGTAATATTTGCAGATAGCAAGGCAGCAGATGCAGAGATATATTCTTCTACACAAACAAGTACTCCACTTTTATGAAGAAAAAGCCAAAGCCAAGGCATGGTTTTGGAGTAAAGGAAAAACTGGCAACCCTATCAGAATTGATACAACCTCTGCTCCAATAAAAATCTCAACAACTCTGTGCCATAGACACCGAAGCTGCCTCATTCTTCCCCAGTACTGTTTGGGAAACAAACTTTAGTGTGTAACTCCTATGCTTTTAGGCATAAAGAACAGCCATAACTACTCACCCCGGGCTTCCTAGGACACTTTAGCACAGGAGACCTAGATGGGCTATACAGGAATTGGCTACACCTTCCTGATCCTCCCAAGACTACATCACCAAGACACTTCGTCATGGCACAGATGGCAAAGAAGCCAGCTCAAATAGCCATTTGCAATAAGAATATTTTCCCCCAGCCCCTTTCTTGCAGCTAACTGAGCTTCATTGCAGGTACAGACCGCTCCTCACCACAGTCACTTGTGTTTGTACAAGACTGATGTAGATCTGGTTTTTGAAAGGCATACCAACACAAATCATGGAACCCAACTGGAATAAGTTCAAATCACTAGCAGAAATGTCCAAGACACACAACAGTTATCTGATCCAAGCTTTCTCAGAAACTGGTGACAAGCATACCCAGCAGTGTGCTCTCAGTCTGTCACTACCTGTGACACCAGCAATGAAATCCACCTACACATTTCTGCCACATAACTAGGCAGATAGACTGAAGCCTAGAAGAAAATATACTGGGCTTGAATCTCTTTTCTCTTGCAAGTCATGAAAATCTGCAGGAACTTCAGGTGCAGAAAGTAGGAAAAGCAAACTGACTGCAAAGGGAAATTTACAGTATATTTCCTGCCCAGAAATTGGAGTGTTACAATAGTGTCTGATGTGATTAACCAAAGGCACTCCTTCATGCCACCGCAGATATGCTTCACAGGAGTGCCTCAGTCTAAGTCGTCTTAGCCACCTTACTTTCTGATCCTTTTTAGAATGCTGTTCCAGACAGCTCAGAGAAAATACAGGTAAGAAGACATCTCTGCAAGCAACAAATGCAGTGCATCTAGTCCTTGCTTGTTCAGAATTCCAGAATAGAGTGCTCTGATATGCTTTGTGCAAGAGGTCAGATGACTCTTTGAAGATGCCTTTGAACTTAAAAAGTTCCCTCTCTCCCCTGGTTGTTAAACTCAGATCCTGGCCTGTTCTTGGGCCAACATTACTCCACCAATTCTACCAGTCTTACCCAGTGCTTCAGCACTCTTGGGAGGAGGAAGGTCCAAGCACCTTCAGTGCCAGCCCACACTCTTCCTTCCATGGTATGGCTGGAATTGATCTGACTCGATGATCTTAAAGGTCTTTTCCAATCTAGGCAATTCTGTGTGATTCTGTGTGAATCATGGCATACTACACCCCAGATCAGAACAGTTATTCTGAGCTCAGCTCTACCTATGCACACTGAGAGCACCTTTAGCTAAAACCAGATGTATAGTCCACAATGCAGATAGCAAGCAACAAGATTTGGGCATTTTCATACCCAGCAGTAATCTCAAAAGACAGTCAATCTGCACAACTGGAGCAAGCACAGAACTGACATTAGGTGCAACCATACAGATCTGAAGAACACTGCAGTCCCTGGGTCATCAGATCCAAGGAACACAATCCCAGCAATATTTATGAGAAGGGGCCTCTAGATACCACTAATCCAAGCTCTTACTCCAAGAAACACTGTCGCCAACTGTACATCAGGACAGATGTGGTTACATCTAGACAAGGCTTGAAAACTTCCAGTGATGGTAATACCACAACTCTGCTGTAACCTGACCAGGGCTACACTACCCCCCAGAGAAGCATATCTTCCTACTGTCCTATCTGAACTCACAAGCTACAGTTTGGGATCATCTCTCCTTCTTATGCCCCCTGTTGCTACTGGGGAGAGTTTGACTACATCATCTCTTTGCCACGTGATGCATGGACACTCCACCTGGGTCTGTGACCATCAGCAAAAACCATGCTTTCATGCAGTACTACATGCTGACTGCAGAACAACGAGGGGGTCAGGCCCAGCCAGCATGGGTTCATGAAAGGCAGGTCCTGCTTGACCAACCTGATTTCCTTAGTGACCCACCTAGTGCATGAGGGTAAGGCTGTGGATGTTGTCTACCTGGACTTTAGCAAGGCCTTTGACACTGCCTCCCACAGCGTTCCCCTAGAGAAGCTGGTGGCTCAAGGCTTAGACAGGTGGACTCTTTGCTGAGTAAAACACTGTCTGCATGGCCGTGCCCAGGGAGTTGTGGTGAACAGAGCTAAATCCACTTGGTGGACGGTCACAAGTGGTCTCCCCCAGGGCTCAGTTTTGGAGCCAGCTCACTTTAATATCTTTATCAATGATCTGGATGAAGGAATTGAGTGTACCCTCAGTACATTTGCAGATGACACCAAATTGGGCAGGAATGTTGATCTGCTTGAGGGTAGGAAGGCTCTGCAAAGGGATCTGGACAGGCTGGATCAATGGGCTGAGGTCAACTGTGGGAGGTTTAAAAAGACCAAGTACTGGGTCCTGCACTTCAGTCACAACAAACCCATGCAACGCTACAGGCTTGGGGAAGAGTGGCTGGAAAGCTGCCCGGCAGAAAAGGACCTGAGGTTGCTGGTTGACAGCCAGCTGAACATGAGCCAGCAGTGTGTCCAGGTGGCCAAGAAGGCCAACAGCATCCTGACCTGTATCAGAAATAGTGTGGCCAGCAGGAGTAGGGAAGTGATTGTGCCCCTGTACTCAGC